AGAAACCATTGCAAGTATTTGGGTTGGTAAATACCCCAAATAATTTTTTAACTGTAATGCAATTCTAATTAAAATACAAATACGTACAAGTTCTCAACACTGGTTATTCATTTGAATCCTCTAGAGTCTAGACTCTAGAGCTTTTTAAAATCATCAAGGTGGCACAACTCTCTTTAAACCATTGAATTGTATGGTAGATGAACCTATGTCAATAAAGCTGTTTTCTTTTTTTATTAAAAGACACCAACACCCAGGCTCTACAAGTCTCCTCTATAAAACACCCAGCCTACATCCACCCCTAGGATTTTTTACTCATTTGTGGTGAAGGCTGCTGTCAATACTTTTTTAACTGCCTCCAGGTGATTCTAGTATATTCAAGGATGGAAATAAGTGTTGGGTTAGTTTTATAGAACTCTTGGGGGCCAATTTATTGTAAAAATTTACACAACATATACACATGTAATAAGACAATGTTCTCTTCCCTGCTTCTCTCCCCTTTCACAGGCTTCGAATCATTGCTGCCACTTTCGGAGAAAATGAGAGGAGACTGAATCTTTTTAAAAATGTGTACAATTATAAGTAAAAAATTATAATAAATTCTGGAAAGCAAATAAGTTGCGTGCCAGATTTGGCAATGCTCTAATTGAACTTTTTGACTGCAATATTTTCCCTTCAAATGACCGGATATTTCTTCTATTTCTTTTCTTATTCTACCATTCCATCATTCACGGATTTAATTATCATAAAAATCATCCTCATACAAATGTTAGTATCTCAGAAATGCCTGTTTCTCCTATAAATTATCTGTTAATAAGATTGGCAGTCGTAGTTACGTGTTGTGCTGTGAATCACAAGATCAGCAGTTTGAAACCATCACTGCTCTGTGGGAGAAAGATGAGGCTTTCTACTCCTATAAAGAGTTCGACTCCTCTTGCCTTGAAGGTGCCCAATGAATGAGTTAGAATCCACTCTATAGTATTGGTTTTGGCTATTCAGGTTTGGGACCTCCTAAAACAGCTATCAGGCTAGTGCAGCTAGCATATTAAGAATTCACTCACTGTACTTTTACAAGTACACACTACACTTTGAGTCTAACTGAATTTTTTGGCATGCTACAAGTGAATGTTTTTGTGTGCCTTCAAGTCCAGTCCACTTCATAGAAACCCTATAGGTAAGTCTAGAACTGCCTCTATAGGGTTTCCAGTCTTTCCTATAGGATGTATTAGGCTACCATCTTTTTAAGGAAGCAGGTCTATTTTCCCACAGCGCTGGTGGGTTTTGTCAACCTTTAGCTTAGCAGAGTGCTTAACATTCCAGCCACCAGGGCTCCTGCAATCTCTTTGTTATTGTTGCTACCAGAGGCCATTTCATGGAGTCCACTCACAGAGACTTATGAATAGCTGTACAAAACACTGCTAGTCCTATGCCACCATCCTCACAATCTCTCTACTAAATCTCTTTCAACTCAAACGTATTGCCACTGAGTTGACTACTAGTCACAGTGACAATGTAAGACAAAATAGAATTGCCCATGTGGGTTTCTAAGCTGTACATCTTTATGGGAGCAGAAAGCCTCATCTTTCTCCCAGGGAGCCGCTGGTGGACTTGAATCACTGACCTTGTGGTTAGCAATTAGCAAACCCACTATGCCACCAGAGCTCCCTAGAAAATCTCTTCAGAGGTGAAGAAAGCTGATGGTGCCTGTCTATCAAAAGATACAGCGTCTGGGGTCTTAAAGGCTTGAAGGTAAACAAGCAGCCATCTAGCTCAGAAGCAACAAAGCCCACAGGCAAGAAGCACACCAGGCTGTTTGATCACGAGGTGTCGAAGGGCTCAGGTATCAGGCATCAAAGAACAAAAAATCAAATCATTGTGAATGAGGGGGTGTGCAGAGTAGGGACCCAAAGCCCATCTATAGGCAACTGGACATCCCCTTACAGAAAGGTTGTGGGGAGGAGATGAGCCAGTCAAGGTACAGTGTAGCAACAATGAAACATACAACTTTCCTCTATCAGGGGTCCTCAAACTTTTTAAACATGGGCCCGTTCACTGTCCTTCAGACCCGTTGAAGGACAAGACTATAGTTTTTAAAAAAACTATGAACAAATTCCTATGCACACTGCACATATCTTATTTTGAGGCAAAAAGCAAAATGGAGCAAAAACACCCGGCACGCCAGATAAATGTCCTCAGCGGGCCACATGGCCCACGGGCTGTAGTTTGAGGACGCCTGTGAGTCTAGTTCCTAAATGCTTCCCCCAACCCCACTATCATGATCCCAATTCTACCTTACAAATCTGGCTAGACCAGAGGATGTACATTGGTACAGATAGGAACTGGAAACACAGGGAATCCAGGACAGATGATCCCTTCAGGACCAGTGGTGAGAGTGGCGATACCTGGAGGGTGGAGGGAAGGTAAGGTAGAAAGGGGGAACCGATTACAAGGATCTACATATAACCTCCTCCCTGGGGGATGGGCAACAGAAAAATGGATGAGGGGAGAAGTTGGATGGTGTAAAATATGACAAAATAATAATAATTTATAAATTATCAAGGGTTCATGAGGGAAGAGGGACAGGGAGGGAGGGCAAAAAATAAGAGCTGATACCAAGCGCTTGAGCAGAAAGCAAATGTTTTGAGAATGATGATTGCAACAAGTGTACAAATGTGCTTGACACAATGGATGTATGTATGGATTGTGATCAGAGTGGTATGAGCCCCAATAAAATGATTTAAAAAAAAGAAAAAAATCTCTTCAGTAAACAATAAATAATAACTGTACTTTAATTAGCAAGAATTAATCTACCTAATGAACTGATGAAGAAGAGTATATTACATTATTACAGAATTATTAAACTACTGAGAGTAACTATAATAATCCAAATATAACTTGAAAAGTAAAATTTGAAATTAATACAGCTAAAACAATACTTATAAGGAAATATACAGTTTTAAACGCTTATATTAAAAAGAAAAAATTCTGAAAAGTAATAAACCAAGCATTCATCATAAAAAGTTGTTTTCTTAAAGTAAGAAAAATAATTATGAACAAAAATAATAACCCAAACCCATTGCCATCAAGTCAATTCCAACTCATATCAACCCATCACAGGGTTTCCAAGGCTGTAAATCTTCTGATGAAGCAGCCTCATCTTTTTCTCCATGAGCAGCTAGTGGGTTTGAACCACCAACCTTGCTTACCCACCACCAGGGATCCTTAAATACATAATGCATGATAGAATGAAGCCAAGAGCTGATTGTTTGAAAAGCCTAATAAATGTAATAAATCTGTGACATGATGATAGATTATGAACAAAAGAGGGAAGGTATATTTCAATTGAAAGGAAGACATAACTGATGGCATTCAGATATTTTAAAAACTAATGCCATATTAATAAGAAATTTAATACAAATCCATCTGAAAATTTAGATTCAATGGAAAAATTCCTAGAATACAAACCTACCAAAACTTACTCAGTAATTTAAAAATCACTTTAGCAATTACTTATGAAATAAAACCCAAAATGAAATCTCAAACTTAATACTTGATATAAGTATTTGTGATGTAGACCATCAATTGCATGAGTTTATAAAACATTGTTAACCAAACTCACACTGGAAATAGGTAAAATTTTTGCTAGTTTCCACTATTTAAGTAATAAATCAACAGTAAACCAATAAAAGCTGGTCTCTAATTCTCTAAAGTGAAGAATATTATCATTAAATAACAGCTATTAGTCAAGAATTTAATAAGACAAAAATAAGGACAATGAATGTACAAATGCGCTTTACACAATTGATGTATGTATGGATTGTGATAAGAGTTGTATGAGCCCCTAATAAAATGATTTAAAAAAT